AAGGCACGTGGCTGTTTACAACCAGGAACACCAGGGCCCTTGTCTGGATTAAGAGCATCATGGGCCTGGTGTTGAGGATTTGGTGGGCCTTTTTATGGAAATACATAAGGTGAACACGCAAGCATTTTAAGTCAATAGAAATGACTGAACCCCAAAATTACCTAAATGATGCAAACTGGTAGATTAACATTAAACTCTACGTTCACTTTTCATGCTTTTTTGCTTTCAAATTGATCAAATGTAGAAAACATAATGTGGGACGGAGCATTCTGCTGAGTCCTGCGACATCTATTGTGGCTACTGATGGGTTGAAAGTGGCAAAATCCTGTGTAATAAAATGAGTTAGGAGGCCTTACAGTGACCACCAATGTAATAGAGATATGTACACTGACCACCAATGTAATAGAGATATGTACACTGTCCACCAATGTAACTGTAATGTAATATGTACACTGACCAGCAATATTTCCAGTGATTTTAGCTGTAAAACTGTGTCTGGAAATGTAAAGCAGCCAGATAAAGTAGATACATCAACAACAACTGAACTCCTTTCCCGCGCTGAGAAACTGCCAAAATCCCAGACCGTGCCACCTTCTACAATGGGAAGGGGGGCAGAATTTGCATATCAAATAACCTCAATATTTGCATATGAGTGAGTCACGGCATATTCATATGTAAATTGTGCTACCTATATATATGCAAATCTCATGACCGGGCCTATTTTCAGTGGGGGGCCTGAAGCCCTTATCATAATCCAGCCCTGGCAGGGCCCCCTGGTTGCCCCTGCCTGCCTGACATCTTGTGTCCTGGTTTCAGCTGCCAGGAAACCTGGACACACCATTCAAAACCCAGACTGTCTGGGTGAATCCTGCTGCTAAAGCAAAAGAAAGGTGAGTATGTGCTGCTTGGGGAGGGGGTTAAACCTATTCCTTTGTCCTGCATAGGCGGACCACAGGTTCACTTTAGGGCTGATTTAATTTTATAAGCCAATTTATAACTAGTTTTCTTTAACTACCGCTGTAGAGCTGGTGGATCGCTTGTATGGGGTAACGATCGGTTCCCCCCCCCTCTGCACTCCC